GATAGATATAGGTAGAGAGATTGTGTGTGTGTGTGTGTATATATATATATATATGGTACACATACAATATAATATCACAGTAAGACTAATAACTAATTAAATCACATCTTTAACTACTAACTCAGTACAAGTTTCCAATAGAAAAGTTCCCTATCAACATGCCAACAAAACCTTTTATTCTATACCAAAGCTTATCAGGCATGTAGAGCTACAACACAGAATTATGTTATGTAAATGAGTTTCAACTACATGTTTATTAATAAGTAAGATTAAACAGCAGTTTTGTAAACATTAATTCAACTAAAACACATAATTAAAATATATTGTACAATAAACTTTAATAAAAATGACATCAAACCATTTTGGGCATTCCCTAGACGTTTCGGCAGTTACTTACACCTCTGTCATCAGGAGAAGCAAGGAGTCGCAACGAGAGACTAATTATGTATCTTAACAGATATCTTTGCATATAAGATTGAAATAATTTACATAATTAGCCAATCTGTTACACCCACTACATTTAAAAAATAGTTTTCCAATAATTAATTTCTTTATTACCCAGAACAAAATTTTTTGTTGAACAATGCTACAGTTTTTCATGATTTCGAAAGATTCTTTAATATTTTATTCATTTTTATGATCAATCTGAGTAATTAATCTGTCAATTATACCAATTTATAGAATGAAGAGGACTTGTTACATGTTCAACGAAAGCTAATTCAATAAATGTATGTTTACCTACAGCATTTTTGTGTTCCTTAACTCTGGCTTTTTAATTTTCGCATTTCCAACCAATACAAATTAAACCACAGTTTTGTGAAATTTTATAGAATTGCCATATGTGTAATTCTGTTTTACTTTGTCTTTAATTATAAAATGTCTTAACTTATAACAAGGAGGAAACATTACACTACAATTAATGTGTTTTTTAAATATATTACCCATTTATATGGAAATACCCTGAGCATATCCTTGTACTATCTGAATAAATATTCACATGTAATCTGATACAATGTGACATTTTTAAGCTATAAATCCTGTCAATAATGTTAGAATTAAATCTGCTATAAATGGCAAAACACTTAAAAAAAAAGTCACTTCTCAAATTAAATCTTTATGATAGGTATGGATATTTAAAGTCTTAAGGACAAATGTAGAGAAAGCAGACAATTTTTGTGTTTAGGAGTGGTACATGTGTGGTGTCATGATAAAATAAAATGGTCATGTCCAAAAAATTCAAAGAAGCCTCTTTTTCTAACAAGAACTGATTTTTTTCAAGGCTGATCAGATTGAATATGTTTTAAAAATTGGTTAACATATCATTACCACGTGCCATATGTATCTTCACTGTTACAGTTGGTTTAAATAAGCTGGTATTTAAAGCACGGGTTTCAAAATTATGCATAAAATTGTAAAGGGTGTAACAGGTTGGCTAATTATTTACAATGATTAAAGGTTTTATGTGTGGTATGAACTTGTTAAGATGTGTAAGCTGTCTATCATTACAATTCCATGCTTTTCCTGATGATGGTAAAGTAGATTACCAAAATATGTTGAGAATGTCCAACAGGCATCGTTGTTAATGAAGTTTCTTTATACTTATTTAAAACAGCATATATCATTGTGAAACTATCAGAATAACCATATTGTACAGAACCAGACGGACTTTAAAATAGTAACTTTGACTGTAAAAAAAAAGAAAATATATATAACATAGGTGTTTCTGAATTAAAATAACTTTAACATCAAGTTTAATGATTGTACAGTTAAAAACAAATTAATAAGGCTTGGTGGTAAAACAAAGCAATTACAGTAAAACATACCTTTAGAGCATTGTAGACAGTGTAAAAAAATGAATTGATAAAACAGTATACTGTACATTTTAGCATCTTATACCCAAGTTTATTTTGAGTGAAAAATAAACAAACTATTTGAATTTTTTTTCCTTTCAAAATTTTTGTATCACCATCTATAGTGTGAATATTTAATTAATCTGACATATCAGGACACCAGTGACTTTCAAAAGTTTGAATATTTATTTTTTAACAATATATTTATCAAGAGGAAATTCTGAAATTGTTTCAAAGGGAACAGCAAAACGTGAAGAGGCTGTTGTGGAATTACACGTCTTAAAGGCTTTTTGCACTCCATCCATAACACTGGTTGATGTTGGAAGTACTCTCGACAATGCTCCCGTCTTCTACGTACATAACTCCTTTGTGATAACAGCGATAACAACCTCAGCCTGTGATGATACCGTATCACAAACGTTCTTGTGGACTCTGTTCAAAATAAACAGTTCTTATCCATACCAAGAAGAAAGAAATGTATTCCCACTTTCTGCCACTGTTGTTACAAATAACTCATACCTTTCAATTCCTGCATACCTTCTACCAGAAGGGAATTATTCTTTGCAGTTGAAAGTAGATGTGCTTCAGAATGGGAGAACATTATCTAACATAGGAAGAGTAAGTATGTAATTAACCTAACGTTTATACATTATGGACATTCATAATGAAAAATAGAATTCAGAATTTTTCAGAGATAGTTTTAAGTTACTTTAATTTCTATTAACAAATGACTACAAATTAATTGAATGACTACGTTGAAGTCTTTCTTTATTGCTTCAAAACCTAAATTATTTCATACAGAGTAGAACATAATGCTTATATGCTTTTAGCCTGTGCATAACTTATGTCGATTATGCAAAATATGTGCAATTTGATCACCTTGATGTCTGTTTTCTAGCATATCATTTGGTCTGAAACGTTAATTTCTCTTTTTCTAAAGAAGTTACATACAGTTTCAAATAACTATTATTTTTATACAGTAGAATATATATAGTCATTATAACTTCTACTCTCTCTCTCTCCTATGCATTACACCATTTACAGTCTATTACCTTCATGACTGACAACAACCATCACTTATATACCTAACATAAAGTTCCTGAGTTTAATAAGTAGATTTAGACTTGGTTCCAGTTTTCATGTTGTTGGTATTTCTGTAAGTAGAGGCGATTTAATTAACTTTTCTGTACATAACAGGTCAGCTCGCATCGATGTATTTCTTTATGCAATGTTTAAAAGTATCTTATATATATTTATATTTCATTAAATGTTCAAAAATGAACAATAGATTATGACATTTTTTATATGATCTGTAAGTAAAAGCCAAAAATTAATACTGTTTTGTATTTTCTTTCCAATTGAAGGTATTTTTGATTTAGAAAAATGGAAAAAAATAATGGTATTGATATTTCGTATTTACCTAAAAGATTTATAACAAAACTTATTCTAAAAAAACAGAGTTGATAATAGAGAAATGTAAAATTGATATGCTTACAATTTAATGCTTTCTTATTACTAGGGTTGGATGAAAATAATTCCTTCTCCACTGTTACCTGTTATTGAAGGTGGAATATTTCGTAGTGTCAACTTAAATCAGGAGGTTATATTGAATGCTTCATTGTTGAATTATCCTGTGACTCTAGGGTCACAGGATAATTCAACAATGAAGCATTCAAAATACAAATCCTCTTTATATTACAAAAGCATTGTTATGTTACTGAAACAGCTTATGACCTTACTCTAGAATGTTGGCTGTGGACTGTAGTTTCACCTATTCAAGGCTCATCAGCACAGCTTGGGTCAGCAAATCAAAGAAATACAGTTAGCCCTAATATGATGGTGAAGTGTATATAAGTGGGTTTTTGAGTCTGTTTATCTTCACCTAATTCAGGCTACTATATGGTGAAGTAAAACAGACTCAAAAACCCATAGATAAAAGCAGTCTACATATTAAAGAAATTTTGTTAATTAAGTGGCTAAAGCCAAAACTTAATGAATTTGTTGAACTGTTATTAAGATTGTGATGAAAGTCTGCTTTTAAATTAAAATATGTTACCTATTTTTCATCTAAACTGATAGCTGATATTTCATACGAAAAAGATATGTCCAACCAAGGAATGCATCAGCCTTCACGTGACAGATTCTCTTTTCAGTTTCACCTCTAGTGAAAAAGAAGAGAAATACTGAACACATATATACAACAGACTGCTTTTGTTGTTGTTTCTTACCTTAGTCTTGAAGTGGGAATTCTTAGTTAATAAACAAAGTATCTTTAATCCATAGATTACTTCTGTTGTTGTTTGTTGCCGGTCTTGAAATGAGAATTCCTTACTTAACCCATTAGTTGCGGATGACGGATATTTCCAGGAAGCAATAACAAAAGCAGTCTATGTATTACACAAACTTTGATAATTAAGTAAGGAATTCTCACTTCAAGACTGGCAACAAACAACAACAAAAGCAGTCTATGAATTAAACAAAGTTTGTTAATTAACCCATTAACAGCAGCAGGAGCAGCTCAATTGCCGTGTTCTGACTCACAGATAAAACTGAGTTGCCATCAATCACAATAAAACGGTAATTTTCGTCATTCGCATAGAGTTATAGTTATATATGTGCGACTGACAGATATTTCCGTCATTCGCAGCTGAGCCATAGAACTTCAATGACGCTATAATCTGGAAGTGAGAATTCCTTACTTAATTATCAAAGTTTGTGTAGTACATAGACTGCTTTTGTTATTGCTTCCTGCTATAATCTGGAAATGAGAATTCCTTACTTAATTATCAAAGTTTGTGTAGTACATAGACTGCTTTTGTTATTGCTTCCTGCTATAATCTGGAAGTGAGAATTCCTTACTTAATTAACAAAGTTTGTGTAATATATAGACTGCTTTTGTTGTTGATTCCTGCTATAATCTTGCAGTGAAAATTCCTTTCCTTTAAAATTTCAGGTATCAATGGTTTTGTTGGATCAAAGACTTAGTACCTCCATTACCTGGTGAAATCTGTCAGGACCAAGACACACCATTGAAACAAACTGGTAAGTTACAATAGGAATCAAAGATTTGGTTCCTCCATTACCTGGTGAAACTTATCAGGACCAAGATAAACCATTGAAACAACTGGTAAGTTACAATAGGAATGAAAGACTTGGTTCCTCCATTACCTGGTGAAACTTATCAGGACCAAGACAAACCACTGAAACTAACTGGTAAGTTACAATAGGAATTAATTTTTAGCAATATCCAGTGGAGCACTTTTGAAACATCAATATTTAAAACCTGTTACCTAAAAATAACTAGTAGTGTCTTGATTTAACAACAGCAATAAATAAAGTAATATGTAACATTATATTATATAAGAAATATGTCTAATTCTGCTTGACACTTAGGTTTATGGATATTTTAAAGAACATTAATTGTAAAACTAACTCAGTAATTGGTCACCAACACAATAAGGTACTCACTAACTAACTAATCAAGAACAACTTTCAGGTGTTTTTATAATTCTATAATATTTGTTATCCCAAGTCTCTAGAAAACTCAAGATATAGCATGTTAAATCTGGATACCCAGGAAATTTCTATGTGTCACACATTATCACTGCATCATTCCAAAACTCCCTCTATAAAAGTATCTAAATTGGAATATTACAATATCTTTTACAACAGTATTCAGTCCTTTACTAACTGGTAGTTATAGATAATATTTTTTTTCCTTCAAAATACAGTTAATGAGGTTTCATATTCTCCATTATTACATATAATGTACATGAATTTAACAGTTAGTAATTCAAATTCAATGACATACCTGATGATGACAAAACCTTGTCGAAACGTTGTACACTTGCTGCTATGTTAAACTTATATTAAAGTTTTGCTTCGTTACCCATTCAAGCCGTCTCCAGCCATTATTAACAGTTAGTAAACTCATATAATCAAATACAGTGATGTAGTTATAAGCAATCACTATATTTTTCTTCATGATTATCACATATTATGATTGATCATTCAAAAGTACAAAACCTGGAAAGATACAACAAACAGATTTGTTAATTTAGTTAAGATATATCACTTTCTTACCTAGATTTTCATTATACACGCTAAAAAGCGACGTTAAAACAAAGTAGTAAATGCATCTAGTTTAACGTTATCCAGACCATGAGCAGGTGTCGAGTGCACACCTGTGTATCAAGTTTCAAAGTTTAAGTAAAAATAGTAATTCTAAGTCTTTCAACAATTTTGCACTCAAACTATTTTTACAATTATTATTTTGTAACTAAGTTTTCTTGCCCAAAGCATAGAATTCCAAGGAATTATCATGAGTTGAGAAAATCATTCAAAACACTATTTTCATTCTGATTTTTAATTAGTACAGTAACTCGGTCTTACTATTTTTCACAACCTCACTGTGTATTGTCTGAGAAACCACTAATGAAGCTTAATGTAAAACTTAAATATTGTTGTACAAAGCAGTCAATGTTGAGTTAATAAGGTGGTTCGAGAAAGAACTTGTGGTTTTGTAAGGAAGTACTTAGATGCAATTCCTACAGAGAAGAGCAATTAATGAAATTTAGTGGGAAGTTTAGAAGACTTCGGAACAAACCACAGGTGTGTTCATTTTTTTATAGTTTCGGGAACATTCTTTTCATTCCTGAACATTTTTTCTGTTGAATTATATTTGTTTGAAAGCTACAAAAATTGTCTTGTATGACAAGTTAGCTTAGTAAGGTTTAGATAATATGGTAGACAATGGGAAAATGTCCTGATAGCTCAATTGTGACTCAAATCCTTATTTATTGTATCTAAACAATGAGAATAAGTAAAAGAATGTATTATTTATTCAGAAGAAACAATATCTAGTAGATATAAATTTATCTCTACCAGGATATTGTCAGCAAAAGTATTATTACTTGTCATGACCTGATGCCATTGTGATAGGTTAGGTCACTGATACCTTTGTCCATGTTTATTGTTAGTTATAGCTTACAGATGGTTTCTACTATAACCTCTAGAATAAAGTATCAAAATCAATGTGTCAATAACTATCTAACACAGATAAATAACTGATCACAGATTTAAAATGGAACTTTCTGGTCAACAATGAGAAAATTAGACTCCAAGATGAAGGAAAGTAATTTTTCCTTTTTTTTTTAAATAGTCTCTCAACAAATTTGTGTAAATCTCTTAATGTGTAAAATTATATAAGTAAACCCAATTATATGATTCTTTAATGCCAAAACTAAATGCTATTTAGTTAATTTTTACTAAGTTTCATGCAATTTGGTTAAGAATATCTATTTTGAGAAGGAAAAAAAGCAAGGGATATCAATTGCACCCCCTTCACCATGCCCCCCCCCCCAAAAAAAAGGTTAATGCAGAAAGTAAGAAATTAGTGACTCATAGATAACAAGGAATAACCTGACATTATATCTTACAAAAACTTTAAATATGCTATCTTTGTACAGTAAATAAATTACATATAGAGAAGTGGCTACTGAAAATATGTTTTGTGTAATGACAATTAAGATAACAATAAAAAGTATTAAAATAGGAATTCCTCTTATATATACCAATACATCACAAATATTACAAAAGTATACACGTAAATACTTTATTGTAATTATCCTAACAATGAATTTAAATGACTTAAAAAAAATATATTGCTTTGTTTATTTGCTGTTAAGCACAAAGTTATCTGTGTTGTGCTTACTACGGGTATCGAAATCTGGTTTTGAGTGTTATAAGCCTTCCGACTTACAACTGAGCCATTTGAGGGCTATATATATATATTGTTATTGATTTTCAGAAAGTATCTTTCTCTTTTAACAGAAGGTTACTGGAGAAACTGCAAAACTTAAGTTATATGTAATTGATATTGCATTTCGAGCTAGCAGTAGTTCCAGAGTTTATTATAATTGAATTTTTGTCTTAATAGGCACAGTTCTGAGGTTACCTGGCCAATCTTTCCAAGCAGGTTTATCTTACATTTTCGAATTTAAAGTACTGAGAAAAGATAAAAGCTCAGAAGCTGGGAGTTTTCAACAAGAGATACTATTCTTGAAAGGAGATCGACCCGAGTTATCCATTCAGTAAGTGATATGATTTTGAAACATTGATTCTGTTGTGATAGAAATGTAAATGATGTTGCTGTTAGGTTAGGTTGGTGATGAAATCGTTTTTAATAGAAAAATATAATATTTTAGAAAAATGAAATATATCTGTAAAAATGCTGCCACATATGTTCTGATTTCATAAAATAATTAAGATTCAGTAGGTTATTTGACCCTTGCATGAACAAGAGAATTGAGTTACTTTATGAAACTTAAATTAATCCGTACAAGTATGTACGTCTTTCATTATATATAGACAGTCCTGCTGCTTTCAGGGAAAACCACGGCCCAGCATGGCCAGGTGGTTAGGATGCTCGACTCGCAATCTGAGGGTCGCAGGTTCGAATCCCCCTCCCACTAAACATGCTTGCCCTTTCAGCCATGGGGGTGTTATAATGTGACAGTCAATCCCACT